GTTGGGGGGTGGGGGAGTGTTCAAGAAGTATTTCCTCTGGTTATGAAAGAAGTAAAGAAGTGAGCTAGAAAGTTGAAATGTGGCTCTCACGATGTTACTTCTCTACCTACATCCCTGCTAATTGACACATGATCCTTGCCATCTTTGCGTGACCCCCAGAAGTCCTTGAGCCAAGCAGATATATTATGATCTTAGATGGGGAATCAAACCATTCGTCCCCCACAGATGTAGCATAATCTTCTTCACTACGGAAACGCTTTCTTTTGAGGATCTTGTTTTCAGATTTAGGAGAGGGAAAAGGTCAGAGAGGGAATAAAGTGGATGTGAGAGAAGGTCGTAGCCGACTGCTTAGCTGTCTGAGCCTCCTTCATAACTCTGTGCACTGGAGCATCGCCGAGCTGCAAGAGAATTTTATTGGTTAAAAAATTAATATTTTTTTTACAGTTTCCTTTGTACATGTATTCAAAAACTTCCTTCGCTAAAAGTGCTTTCCAGCTCAAGCCGCTGAAAGGATTTTTGTTTCGAAACTCCTCATGCAACGTCCCAGAAAGTTAGACATCACATGCTGCAAGTTTCAAGCTTTTACGTCCCATTCCTTCATTCATAGACAGAGTAAAGACTTACTACTATTACTGAACACCTCTCGTAGAGTAGAATGTTCAAAGAAACAGAAACGCGAAAGAATGCAAAAGAAAAAACGTTACCATAATCTGCTAAAAATAATTCTGTCACGACTGGGTGGAATCAGGCGTTTGTCAGTTTTGGGGCATTTGGAGTTATTGGTATTATCTTAAAGCGTAATCCCTTCTTTTAATGAAAAAAAGAAATATCCATTGTCTTGAATAGACGTCCTGATAGTTATTGCGACTGAAGGAGATGGCAGTCACCGCGTGTCACAGCTCGTCAAATTTGGGAGAAAATGGCCCCAAAATGGCCCCAAAGTTTGGTGACTTCCAAAGCTTGAGTGTCCGTGGAAACTCAACATAAACGTTTTGTGTGCCTTTTATAAGTGTAGAATCCTCACAGAAATGTGTTTTTAGATTGGGGGGGTTAGAACATTTTATCGGTGTCTTCGATTCCATGAATTTGACCAGCCCCTATTTTCCACGACGATGCCGCACATCTTGTGTCTGTGACGTAGCCAGCAGACCCCTCAGCCTGGGGCACACACAAGTAAGGACCCAGCCTCGATGCTGCCACTCGCAAAGTTCAAGCAAAAATGTTCAGATAAAGCCTGCCCGTAATTCCTTCGTCTTCTTATCGACTTGTGGGAATATTCTGCTGAAGGATGCA